ACTAGCAATTGTTATATTCAAGTACTGTCAGGATTTAAAAGTTTTTGCATGACAAAGAATTTTGCTATAGTAGCCTACTCAAATCATAATACTTATTTTATTTGGGGATATAAGCAGTATGAAAAATTGTTAGTAAATATTTAGTACTATTTCTATTGTAGTGTTGGGGGAGGAGAGACACTTGGCACAGTCCCCCAGAAAGCCCCTTTGGGCAGGCTGTATATACAGTAGTTGTGGGTTTGGCAGGGATTGTGTGCGTTTGGTGTGTGTTCTGTTTCTGTGCAGTTGCACCTGTTGTGGATAAAGCAAGAAAAAGACAAGCTCTGGTCTTTGACCCTTCTTTACCCAGCCAACTCTACCCTATCATACATTATTATAGAGGTTGTATAAATTCAAAATGTAAGATAAATAATGATTTTGTCTTTAATTATTCGTTTTTTCCTTGTTGTTTTTAAATATATTGTGGCAAGCTTGCTCAAGGGATTCTGTATAGGAATGACACTGGAGCCAGGCTGTCTTTTTCTCCAGGCTTCCATGCTCCATACACTGCATGACTCTGGGTAGTCATTGTTTTTATTATCAGAACACAACACTGTACAACACAAACTTATATACAGTCATTTCCCCCCAAAAGGAGCCTGCAAAACTGAAACATAACCCACTAACCCAAAGTTTCCAGCCCCAAGAACACCTGCTAAGTGGGAAACCACATCAGACCTAACCGTCTGGGTGAGTGTGTCCATGATGCCGCCCTGACTCCCCAACACGCTACAATAGATTGTAAAAATAGAAATACAGGTATATGATCACTTAAGAATTTGACCTAGAAATGTTTCCTGCCTGGTAATCTTAAAGAAAGTAGGTCTTAAATCTGCTGGAGCCATGTCGTTTTCTTTTTCAAACAAGCAAAATTTCTGATTTTACTTTATTGTCATGAAAACAGCTTAGGCACTGCACTTGTCCGAACAACACTTGAAGGTAGCACGTTTCGATACAGGAAGTCTTGAAACTTTTTGGCGTAGTGGTAAACTTGTTATTTGCATAACATGCAGAAGCTCCGTGTATAGATACGCCTGCCATTTGTATGTGTGGGTGGTATAAGATGGTTAGAAAGTGGTCAAGTTAATATCGACAAGCAGACCCCCCCCCTCCCCTCAGGAAATATGACGAGTGTGTAAGGTGGATATATGCGACAAACAGAGCTGTTAGGTTCAGTCGCTGTCACTTTCAGACTGTTGTGTTACTGGACTGGCGGAAGGTGAACATCGACATGTGGGAACAGGAGGAATTTGCGAAACACTGGAGGAATGAATTTCCTGATGGTGAAGTGCCGCAAATGGACTTACACTCTGTCGAGGACATAGAGTCGGAGCTAGAGACATGTAAATCCAACCTGAAGAGGCTCCAGAAGGCTCTGGCGGAGGAGAAATTCAAGGTGATTTACCTGCAGACCACTATGGTTCGACAGAAGAAAAACGATCCGGAAAGGTTTGAAGGTAAAGATGAAAACTTCAACGCAGACACATCTGGTCTTTCTAAGACGGGAAATGTTAGGAAACCGCTGCGGCGGGACGATGAGAATGACGGGGAGAGGACCAAGGTGTCCGACTCTGGAGGCGTGAAGCTCCACACGGCAGGTAGCACAGCGGGGGTCACCAGCTCCTTCGGCCGGGAACGGAGCAGGTTTAGCGGCAAGACAGGCAAACCCGTCCCCATCCCTGTCCCGCCACGGAAACCCAACTACCCGAAAGGGGACATGGCTCCTATCACCGTCTCTCAGCCGAATGATAACGAGGAGAGCAGCGACCGGGAATACGAGGATGCGGAGCTGAATGCGAATTTCGTCAGGAATAACTTGTTAACACCCAAGTCCATCGGCATGGACATTCAGAGGAGCTACCGGGACACCCGGCGGCCTTTCCGTCACAGCAGGGACTTTGATTCTGGCGACGACGGCAGGCTGTCTCCGTCCTTTCCGCAGATTCACCGCAGAGCCTCCCGCGGTTCCGGGTGCAGCACCCCTGACAGGAGAAGTGATGGGTATCTGAGCTCCGACCATGAAGACTCTTCTTCTGCAGGTAATGTCAGTTGGCCTGCTACAGATGCTAATTGGTTATAACGAGAAATAACAAGGTGAAGACAAATTTGACTACTTCAACAAATAAAACACGCTGACAGTGTAGCATAGGACACAACATAAGACCAGAGGGAACCCCATGACAGTGACTTTGTCTTGACTCTAGACAGTGGAAAAGTCATTGTGGTCTTGGTCGGAGGATCCAAAGTACTGCCAATACAGTTTAAAGCTAGAAAGGGCCCTGGCATTAGAGACCTGACTTAGAGGAACTAGCACCTACAGTATTTCTATAAGTTATGCTGCAACAAATTACTCTTCAGGTATTGACAGACCAAGAAAAGTAAGGAACTAAGTACTGATAAAGAGGTTATTTCCTTTCCAGATGTAGTACCACATTGAAGTGTTTTAATCAGGCAGATTAGTGGTTTACCTCAGGCTAGGCTCAAGGTATTGATTCAGCATGTGAACAGAGAACTTAAATGTATTTGCATTAGTTGTGTTGTGTAGTCTATCTACATTAAATAGTCTATCCAGGAGCCTGTCCTGTGGTGCCTGGGGTCTGAACTAGCGCAGATTAAGGACAACAATTAAAAAGTCTGTAGAGGTTTTAGACCATACCTAGAGGAGTATAGTTGAGATTTAAGGGAACCGAAGACATATTTACACAGGCCGACTAAATCCAGCATTTTGATACACACTTGATTCAAGCGTTTTCAGTTTTGCTACAATCTTAAACAACACACACACACACACATGCAATCTGATCTTTTCAGCTCTGACATTAACCACTTTCATATGTTTTGAAATGTGATTCAGATTGCACTTGTTGCAGTGTGAACCAGATTAAAACCATTTTATTCCTCTCTTTACTTTCCCTATGTGACATTAAGCGGGTGTTGCTTGATGTCATATCCTGTGAGTTCAGCAGTGCACCACATAAATGGCCATGCGACTGTGAAAATAACACCAGAGAATGTGTCAAATGACTCCCTCCTCTGATGAAGAAACCATAACTGAAGGGGTGAAAATTAATCTGACACATGTTGTGAACATGGTCAAAAGAAAATACTCTTGAGCCCTCAGACTACACTTGATCCAAAGATTACAGCAATAAATACAAATATGTGCAATGGAAGCAAGATTCACAACAGTACATGTAAATCAATAAATGAGATGTTAAAAAAACTTAATAAATGAATTATAAATAGCTGTTGCAACCCTAAGCCTAATGCTGGCTTGCTTCCTATTTTTGCATGTGAAGCTTGGGCATCATTAACATGACAACCAATGTACTGTAGGTATGGCAGCAATACACAAGACCTTTACATTTATATTCAGTAAATTTACTTTAAGTAACAGGCTATATGGTGACTTAAAGCAGTAATTTTACATTGTGGGTACTCTCTGCTGTCAGAATGAAGCGCCAGCTGTCACTTAGTTTAGCTTGGCACAAAGACTGGTACCAGAGGGAA